ATACTCTGTATATCTGTTAGATCCCTTTGGTTTATGATGTCACTTAGCTCCAGCATTTCTCTGCTTAGTTTTTGTCTGGGTGACCTGTGTGTTTTTGAGAGTAGGGTACTGAATCACCCACTGTCGGTGTTTGAGGGTCAATATGTGATCTAGGCTGTAGTAGTGTTTCTTTTGTGAACTTGGGTGCCCTTGTGTTTGGTGCATAGAAGTTAAGAATTGCAATGTTCTATTGGTGGACTTTTTCTTTGATGAGTGTGTAGTGTCCTTCCCTTTTCCTTCTGATTAGTTTTGGTTTGAAGCCGTTTTGTCATATACTAGAATGGCTATACCAGCTTGCTTCTTAAGTCCATTCGCTTTAAATATCTCTTTCTATCCTTTTGCCCTGAGGTGATGTCTATCCTCCATACTGGAGTGTGTTTCTTGGATGTAGCAGAAATATGGACCCTCTTTTCACATCCATTCTGCTAGTATGTGTCTTTTTATTGAGAAATATCAGTGAGCAGTGATTGATAATTCCTGTTTTGTTTCCTGTTATTGGTGTGTGTGTGTGTGTGTGTGTGTGTGTGTGTGTGTGTGTGCTTATGCTTCCCTTCTTTTGATTTTGCTGTTCTGAAATTATTTATTCTGTATTCTTGGATATTCTGTATTCTTGTAGTTAACCTCTTTAGGTTGGCGTTTTTTTCTGGCACCTTCTGTAGGGTTGGATTTGTAGGTAGGTAGTTTTGCTGGGTATAGCAGTCTGGGCTGGCATCTGGGATCCTTTAGAGTGTGCAGCATCTGTGTCGAGGTCCTTCTGGCTTTTAGAGTATCCATTGAGGAGTCCGTGATATTCTAATAGGCCTGCTTTTATGTTACTTTGTCCTTTACCCTTGCAGCTTTTAATATTCTTTGTTCTGTTCATGTAGTATTTTGACAATTATGTGACAAGTGGAATTTCTTTTCTAGTCCAGTCTATTTGGTGTTCTGTGTGCTTCTTGTACCTTGATAGGCACCTCCTCCTTTAGTTTAGGGAAACTTTCTTTTATGGTTTTGTTCAAAATGTCTTCTGTGCCTTTGACCTGGGTTTCTCCTCCTTCTTCTATTCCAGTTATTCAAAGATTTGGTCTTTTCATGGTGTCCCAGATTTCCTAGATGTTTTGTACCAGATTTTTATTTTTTTATTTTTTTAGATTTAACATTTTTACATCTTATACAGTGTCTTCCATGCCTGGGTGTCTTTTATCTCTTGTATTCTTTGTTGGTGAAGCTTGCCTCTGTGGTTCCTTTTTGAGTTCCTAAATTTTTCATTTCCAGATTTCTCTGTTTGGGTTTTCTTTATTGACTATTTTTACGTTCAGGTCATGAACTGTTTTATTCACCTCCTTCCACTGTTTGTGTTTTCATAGATTTAAGGGATTCATTTCCACTTTGAGGCTGCATTTCCTCTATCATATTCATAAAGGATGTCTTAGGGCCTTTTTCTTGCACACTTAGAAAGTGTGTCATTATCTTCCAGTAGGGCTACAGTGACTCCACATACAGCTGTGCCCTAAGTAAAGGTACCTAAGCACCTCCAACAGACTGTTCTAGAACAAGAGCGGCAGCAGTCCACTTCTATTCCATGCTGGCCATTCTGGTAATGTACATGTAAAAGATACAGAGATAAATTTCAGAATGTTCAGATAAGTGCTGCCAGGGTGCGGACGGATCAAAACCAGGTACTGGTAGAAGGGCCTGGAGGGCATGTACCTTGGGGGAGAGAAGGCTCAAGAGAACCAGAAAGGATTCAAGGGTATAAAGGGAGCAGGACCAAGAAGCTTGGGGGCTCTGTGGCTACAAGCACAGACTGCTCTTTCGGAGCATCTGCATTTGACTCATGGCTCACACACGGTGGCTTACAACCATTCTAACTCCATTTCCACGGGGATCTGGCGCCCTCTTCTGGCTGCCAGGCACCAGGCATGCACGCAGTGCATTTACATGCGTGCCTGCAAAACATGTTTGTTTTTTAAAGCTTAAGTATGTTCTAAGTTCAAGTTAAAAAGAACTTGACTCTTTGGGTGATCAAACTACTTAAAGACAAAAAAGGCTGGTTTCCTGGTGGATGAGCAGGGGAAGAGAGGACAGTTCTGTACTGACTGTCCAGATGACCTCGGTGAAGAACGGGCTGCAAGCTCTTTGAATCTGTGTAAAATCACAAGTATATAAATATGACAGTGGCGGGTAAACAGTCTACAGGACAGAGGAGATTAACGGGAGCAGAAGGGATGGAAAGGGGAAAGGGAGGGTTAAAGGGGGATATGTTCAACACTCAGTACACAGTTATACAAAAGGTTTAAAACCCCGAATCTACGTGGAGTTGCAGACAGAAGGAACTGTTGTGATGGGCGCGTTTGCTTTTTGTGACATCGTCAAAATGGCTTGGTTTCAAAGGTGTTCAGCTGTGTCGTATCTGGAACCCTACCTAATTGGAACCTAGTTTTCATGTTTAAAAAAGATTCGTGTTTTCACTGTCTTTACAAAATAATTTATTTTCTCATTTTTTGGTATAATACAGATTAAAAAATATATATAGCTTTTATGTTGACAAAAGCGTAATCTCCCAAAATAAAGTGCATTGAGAGTATCTAATTTTCTTTTCTTTTTTCTTTTTTTTCCGAGACAGGATTTCTCTGTGTAGCTTTGGTGCTCACTCTGTAGACCAGGCTGGCCTCGAACTCACAGAGATCCACCTACCTCTGCCTCCTGAGTGCTGGGATTAAAGGTGTGAGCCTCCACCGCCCAGCAAGTACCTATATTTTCAAACCAAATTCTTATAACCCAAACAAAAAACTTTTTCCTAAGGAAAGAAAATTAACTGAGTCAGGCATAGTTACTGTTTCTATTGATAACAAAAAGGTTAAAGTGCAGTAAATTAAACATTTTAAAAGGTTGGGAAAATGGCTCAGCTGTTAAGAGAGTGGATTCAGCTCCCCGCAATCACTCCGGGTGGCTCACACCTCTCTATAACTCCAGTTCCGGGGGGTTCCAAAGCCCTCATGGGCACCTGCACGCATATGCAGCTCCCACCACATAATTAAAAGTAATAAATATTTAAAATATTCAACAGTTTTGTATTTTTGCTATTGAAAGAGAAATGGACAACATTATAGTAACTCCTACTTGAGTACCATTTCCATTTCTAATCATTAAAATAAAAAGAAAGCCTCATAGTGGCGCATGCCTTTAATCCTAGCATTCAAAAGGCAGAAGCCAGTGGATCTCTGGGAGTTCGAGGCCAGCCTGGTCTACAGAGTGAGTTCCAGGACAGCCAGAACGGCACACTAAGACCCTGTCTTGAAAAAACAAGTCAACAACAACAAAAAGAAATAAGACCTGTTTATGGAGATAAAGCCTATAAAGTCAGAATTTCTAGTAGGTCTGATATTTTGTTCCTATCACTTTTTAATAATTTCTGTCACATTAGAAAATCTTGTTAGAAAATTTAAAGAAACCCTATATTGTTATCTAATTTCTTCTGTAATGTAACTTACCACTTTTCTACACTAAAATTAAAAGATAATAGATTTGTTAAAGTACTCTAGTTTTAATTAACATTTTTTTTTTTTTTTTTTGAGACAGGGTCTCTTTTCACAGTGCCCTGGCAGCCCTGGAACTCACTCTGTAGACCAGGCTGGTTTTGAACTCAGAGATCTGCCTGTCTCTGCCTCCTGACTGCTGGGATTAAAGGCATGTGCCACCATGCCATGTCTTCTAAACTTTTAATTGTTTAAGGTTTATTATGATTTTTTTGATGTGTATGAGTTTTTCGCTTTCACATATGTTTTATATTACATGCATGCTGGTGACCTTGGAGGCCGGAAGAGGGCATCAGATCCCTTTGGTACTGGAGTCACAGACAGTTGTGAACTGTCATATGGGTTCCGGGAACCAAACTGGGAACCTCTGGAAGAGCAGCCAGTGCTCTTAATTAACCACCGAACCATCTCTTCAGCTCCCAATAATCCAATTTTAAATAAAATAGCTCATAGAATACACATACCTATAAAAGCAGGGTAAAACATGGCTGATCTGGTTTCTTTTACTTACTTATTTTGTTTTTTTGAGACAGGATTTCTCTGTGTAGTCTTGGCTGTCCAGGAATTCACTCTGTAGACCAAGGCCTGCCTCTGCCTCCCAAGCGCTGGGACTAAAGGTGTGCACCACCACTGCTAGGCTAGTTTCTTTTTAAATATGTAAATTTTGGTGGTTTAATATGCCTGCTTCCTCCTCTTCTGCCTTTACTTGGTTAAGCGAGACAGTGTTCTTGGCTATTTTAATTTTTGGTGTATTACTCTTGTTATACCTCCCAATGTCAAGTACAGAGGATAAAAAGCACTGGATCATAATGGCTAGTAGACTCCAATGATACGATCCGGGATCCGGGAGTTTCTTCCTTAACAGCTTTACCAGCTGTTCCTCTCTCCTGAAAAGAGCTATCCTGTTGGCTACTCAGCCTTTTCTATATCAGATCCTGGGAACGAGCCTTGCTATTGACACTGGAAAGTTAGCATTTAGTCCCTGTATGCATGAAATGTGATGCTTGGTCAACGTGTGTGTGTGTGTGTGTGTGTGTGTGTGTGTGTGTGTGTGTGTGTGTGTCTTCCTGGAAAAAAAAAACCACACATCTGGGCGTCTTCTGGAGAGCTTATGGGCAGATTAGAAATTCAGTGATTGTAGGGAGAGGTTGGAATGTTGTGGGTCCATTGCCTAAATACAGTTTATCTTCAGCTCTTTAGCTCCTCCCTGAAGACCTGTTCCTTTTCCCTGCTTCGTGTCTGACCTAACATCCTTGTGACTAACAGGTAAAAACCTTTAGTGCATTCACATTAACAGGCCACTAACTTCCACCAACAAAAAAGGTTAAGAATACTGTGTAGCCTTGCCCTTATATCTGGGAAATAAAGATGAATACTGTTGTGAGTTAAATGTTTTTAACATGCTTACAAACTTGGAGCACGTAAAGTATACCCACATCAAAATTACTGTTTCTACTTAAAGCATTTATTTCTGCAGACGCGAGGTGCCACTGGGGCCATCCCCATGGCTCTGGAAGATGCACTCGGCCTCTGCAAACTGTATCCTTTCTAATTTGGCTGGTTCCGGAGGTAACAGGGATTTGGCCTCTGCAGTATTGCGCTACTTCCAAGACACTGGGCAAACTGAGGCTGATCTCTGGAACCACATACAGGTGAGGGTCAGAACCAACTCCACATTTCTTCTGACCCCTGGCACGGCATGCCCGAGGTGGCGCGTAACACAAGACCTCACTTTACCTTGATACTAGCATTTCTCATACCGAGGCAGGAGAATGGAACAGACCAAGGGCTGGAAGGCTCCTAGAGCCTTCTGAAGGCTGGAAACACCTCCGAAGTGAGGCCAGCGAAAACCAGCTCGCCTGCCGCCACAGCCACAGCCAGTTTCTGAACATGAACAGTACTTATTATTCTACTAAAACAGCCCCCTGGGTAGAGTTAAGATGCTAATGAAAGGTACAACATACGAAGCTGTCTGGAGAACTGCGTATCGGCAAGATATGTGGGAAAGCGCGGACCCTTTGTGTACAGCTGCCCTTGGAGCTACCAGACTTTTTCTTGCTCCAGCCCAGTTCCTCCTGTGTGTGGAAGTGCGCTACCCCTTACTGAGCTTTGCTTCTGTTGGGACTGCAAGTCTCTGTCAACCCTTCCTTCAGGGACACCAGAACCCCTCCGGCCCCTGATACTGATCGATATGATTGGATTTTGCATGGGCTGAGCACCACAGGTTAAGCAAACAGCCTGAGAAAAGATACACAGCCTTGCCTTTATATCCGGCAGCTGTGCGAAGTTCAATACAGCAAGGCAGGTGCTGACCGGTGCTGACCGACTAGGAAGGTTCCAGATCTGAACCTGGTGGGGCTGGCTATGGAGGAAGGACAATAATGGATCATGGCAAAAAAGAAAAAAAGAAAAAAAAAGGTTCTTACTGCAATCTTATTCTCGTTCATGAAATATTAAAAAGGATTGTCCAGGATATTAACTCTCATCAGGAATTTGTTCCTTTGAACATCCTGAAGGGCTACATTGCCTGATGCGATTTGATCCCATGTTGGAAGACTCAAGACGGTCTGAAGCCAATGATCTCCCATGAACATGAACTCCGAGGCTGAGTACCACCATTCCTGAGAGGAAGGAAAGAGAACACAGGCCTAGTCAGTACTCCTGGCATGTGGAAGACCGACCAGATTCCAAAAATGTGTCCCTGAGCGTGTTTTGTTTTGAGATAGGGTCTCACTGTGCAGCCTTGGCTGGGCTAACCTTGAACTTGGGCTGGTTCTCCTGCCTGTGTCTGGAGACCTAGAATTATGTACTTGTACTGCCACACATGGCTCTGGCTCCTTTGAGCTTTTAAAAACAGGGGAATTCACAGACAAAGGGGATCTTTTTTTCTTTCTTTTTCAGGTTTTCAAGACAGCCCTGGCTGTCTTGGAACTCACTCTGTAGCCCAGGCTGGCTTCAAACTCAGAGATCTGCCTTCCTCTGCCTCCTGAGTACTGAGATTAAAGGTGTGCACCACCAGCTGGCTTCTTTTTTCATTTTCCTTGTTTTTCTTATCTCCTTTTTTCTTTCTTTCTTGTTTTGGTTTTTGAGAGGATTCCTACAACCAAAGCTGGCCTTGAATTCTCCACGTAACTGAGGATGACCTTGAACTCCTGATCCTCCTGGCTCTACCTCCCCAGCATTGGGATTGAAGGCTTGCATTAACATGCACACCTGATAAAAATGATTTTTGTTGTCCAAACCAGTAGAACTTGGGCGCATCTTCAGATAAGCACACATAATCGCACATGTAGTTGCTTATTTCACAATACCGTGCTGGGTGCAGAGCCCGAGTTTTACCTTTAAGGTGTTCCCACGTGGACAGCAAAAGGAATGTGAAGAAGCCACAGAGATGGGGAGAGACTGAGTACTAAGGGGGTTTGCATGAGGGAATTCTCTGAAGTGTAACAAGAAATGCAAAGCTCTGAGCTGCGAGTATAGGCCCTCTGTTGGTAAGGTCTATGATTACGGTGCTTGGAATGTGTGTCTATTCCCCCACAATCCACATGCTGGAGGCCAGCCCCTAAGGTGATAGTACTGAATGTCAGGGATTTGGGTGATTTGGTTCTGAGGGCTTTGGGGTTTATATCCTTACAAAAGAGCACGAGAGAACAACTTCCCCCCCCCCCCTTCCATTCTTTGGACAGGCAAAAAGTAGGGAGAATAGAAAGACCGGGAAAATTAAGAGAACACCAGAAAGGAAGGTATGGTGATACATGGTTTGCAATCTAAGAAAAAAAGCTTGCCTGAAGATCAGAGGACAGAGCCAGCCACAGAGGTCAGGCAGTGGTGGCACACACCTTTAATCCTAGTACTCAGGAGGCAGAGGCAGAGATCATCTGGATTTCTGTGAGTTCAAGGCTACACTGGGCTACATGAGATGAATCCAGTCTAAAAGAGAAACAGAGCCAGGCAGTGGTGGCACACACCTTTAATTCCAGCACTTGGGATCACACACCCTTTTGTTTGTTTGTTTGTTTGTTTTTGTTTTTCGAGACAGGGTTTCTCTGTGCAGCTTTGCACCTTTCCTGGAACTCACTCTGTAGCCCAGGCTGGCCTCGAACTCACAGAGATCCGCCTGCCTCTACCTCCCGAGTGCTGGAATTAAAGGCGTGCACCACCATCGCCTTTAATCCCAGCACTAGGAAGGTTGAAACAGGAAGTGATATGGCTGGGCAGAGAAAGGAATATACCTTGCGGGAGGAGACAGGAGTTTGGCCCTGCTCTTCCCTCCTCTTTCAGGCTGAGGAGTTGGTGAGGGAAGAGGTGGTGGTGGCTGTGACTTGCCCTGTTTCTCTGATCTTTCAGCTTTTGCTCTGATATCTGGCTCCAGGTTTTTATTACAAGACCAACTAGGATTTGTGCTACAGGGAGGGCTGCTTACTCTGGAGCAGTGGTTCACAACCTGTGGGTCACAGCCGCGCTGGGAATCCAATGACCCTTTCACAGGAGCTGCCTAAGACCACCAGATATTTACATTATCATTCATGACAGTAGCAAAATGACAGGAAGTGGCCATGAAAATAATTGTCTGGTTGGGGGTCAGCACACCATGAGGAACTGTGTTAAAGGGTCGCAGCGTTAGGAAGGGTGAGAACCGCTGTTCTAGAATCTGGCTGAAGTGAAGAATGCCCATTCAGTCAACAAAATGAGCTGTGAAGGTTCCAACATAGAGACAAGGTTCCTCTCCCATACAAGTATCTTAAATAGGAATACTAAAATCCTAACAATCTGTGTGGAAGCCCCACAGGTAACTTTGAAGATAGCTTTATTCCCTCCCTAGCTGTGGAGCTGCAGTTTTCTAGAAACCTCAGAAAAAGACCATAAGCGTCATTTGCAGTTGTGTGTGTTTGTGTGTGTATGTGTGTGTGTGTGTGTATGTGTATGTGTATATATAAATAAAAAGTCTTAGCTTCCTTGTGGCAGATGGTGTCCTTGTTAGTATTCTGACCCGCCCCTTGGAAACCCGCCCCTTGGGGCCACCCTGTGTCCTGACATAAAGGCAAAACCCTTGCCCTTCCTGTCTCTCTTCCTCTTCCTCTCTTCCTCTTCCTCTCTTCCTCTCTTCCTCTCTCTCTCTCTCTCTCCCCCCCTCTCTCTCTCCACATACCTCTGCTTTCCCTCCTTTCTCTCTTTCTGTCTCTCTCTTTCCTATCTTTCTCTTCATCTCTCTATTATAATAAACACTTTCCACATGGATGCAGTACCTGGGGGTCAGTGACTGTTCGATGCGCCACCATCTGCTGCTGTTTCTGCCCACCGGGCTCCCCTGCACACGTAAGATACCCTGGCCCGGCCAGCTGGGGTCCCCCACGTGATATATCATAACAGTCATACAATCCAACACATCTCCAGGAACCACCTTTGGACAAGGCGATTTCAGAGGCCACCAGAATCATACAATATATGATTCTCTCTTGAAAAGCTCACCCAGAGTTGTGTGTGTGCTATCATTTTTCTAAGTACTATTAGTGCCCATGCTTAAACCTATGTTTAAGCCTCTTCTTAATACACCCCAGCTCTACTTCTATTTAAGGAGTTAGCCTCAAATTAGTTTCAGCATCAATGTCAAGAATCCTAGCTTCACTTGAGTGGAGGTCTCTGTAAGAATTCAGGTGACAGGTGTCAGAGTAGGGCTATGTCTCTGGTTCCTGCTCCTTCTGCCACTGATGCGGGCACAGCCAGAGGCACATTCAATGAGGGCAGCATCCTCATCAGATACTGAATTCCACGCCACAGTCTTAGACTTGCCAGCCTGCAAAACTATGGGCAGTAAATGTCTCGTAAGCCCAAGTGGACTAAGGCAAGGACTTACCATGCCTCCTAAAACCCAACTGAGAAGTGGATTCTGAGGCTTCCTCAGAAGGGTGAACGTCCCCACATATGTAAACCCACCACACACACACACACACACACACACACACACACACACACACATGCATGGGCGCACACACACATACACACCCACACCCACACACACACACCGTGGCATGGTGGCTGATGGTACATACCTTGCTCATGCTTAGCCAACATTTCTCCAGCAAATTCCCTTGTGTCTCAGAAAGCTCCAAAGCCGTGTTCAGGAAGAAGTCACAACTATGCGCATCTCCCATCAGTATGTAGACATAAGCCATCAGATGGTAGAGCCTTGGGTAGAAGACAGGGCCAATGGTGTCTTCAGCCACAAGGCTCTCCAAGGCCTAGAGAAGACAAACAAGCAGTATAACCAGAGGCTGGGGACATAGATGACTCAAATGGTGCAGTGCCTGTCAACAGGAGTTCAATCCCTAGAACCCACATTTCAAAAGCACGGCAAGAGCTGGGCATGGTGGCATAAACCTTTCCCCAGCACTTGGAAACAGAATTTGAGGTCAGCCTGGTCTATATAGCAAGTTCCGGGATGGCCAGGGCTACATAGAGAGACCTTGTATCAAATAAGTAAATGAATAGATAGATAGATAGATAGATAGATAGATAGATAGATAGATAGATAGATAGATAGGCAGACATATTGATAGACAGATTGACTGATAGATATGACATGTGACATGTGTCACATCTGTGACCTGGAATGGTGTCACAAGCTTAAAATCACAGCCTATTATTGAGGCTATCCCCACAGCTTTCCTAGTAACCACACATCCCCCAAAACACCTCACCATACCTGTGGTTTTTCTTGACTCATGGGAATGAGTCAGTGTTTCCTAGGTATGTGGGAAGGAACTTCATAAAATATTGAAGACCCACTTAATCTGACTTTTGACCTTAGACATTTGGCATATCCTGCAGACAGATCTGTGGTATCCCTGGGTGTGATAGTTTAGGAGTCAATGTGATCTGAATTCTGTCACATGAAGAGATGTGGGGTATCAGCAATTGAGAAGATTGTTCTAAAATGGATCCCGAAGTAAATCATTTCAGGCAATTGGATACCAAAGATCTCAGATGGAGAACTTGGTTGTGAATATGTCCTTAACTCGAGCTCAGATAACAGAACTTGGAGAGGACCTGTGAGGTGGCCCAGACGGTAAAAGGCACTCATCACCATGGAACCCGAGTCCCAGGCCTGGGGAGCCACACCGGCAGCAAAGAACTGGCTTCTGAAAGTGTCCTCTGGGGTCCACAGACACTCTGTCGTATGAACAAGCATGAGCGCACACACACACACACACACACACACACACACACACACACACACACCAAGTGTAAAAGAAGCTTAAATAAAAGAATTATAGGCTGAGAGCATGACTGGACTAAGCATCAGTTCCCACAAAAAGGCACAAAGGGCTGTCTTGAAATCTTGAACCTGGAGGAGGGTAACCTCTATGGACAGTGAAGGAATCACATGTAAAATCCCTTAAAACAAACAACAAACAAACAAACAAAACCCCCAGTAACAGGCAAAACAATACAGTCATTGATAGTCTATTTGACAGCAAATTTCAACAAATGGAAATATATGAATATCCACATGCAGGAAAAACTTGAGTAGTGGTATCATACAGTGTATAAAAAGTACAATCTCTAAATAGAGCAGTTACAATTTGTGGTTTTATTTAAAATTTGCTTACATTTATTGTGTGGAATGTGGTGTGTGTGTGTGTGTGTGTGTGTGTGTGTGTGTGTGTGTGTGTGTTGCTCACATGTGCTACATTACAACTTATGTGTGAAGGTCAAAGAATTACTTTCAGGACTTGGTTCTCTACTCCCACCATGGGTCAAATTCCGGCCATCAGCCTTGGCAGCAAGTATCTTTACCTGCCGAGCTATCCCTCTGGTCCTTTTTTCTAACTTTTTAGGAGGATTGTCTTGAAAAAAACTTTTTACATAAATATGTACAACTTCTGTAATGAGAAGACAGAGAGTCAGGAAGTGGATGGGAGTTCACTAGAGGAGGGGTCTGCCTGTGCTGGAAAGCAGGGAGCAGGCCTCACCTTGAGGAGCTTGACCCCACTGTTCTGTGCCTTCCTTTCTTCTATTTGCTTCTGGAGGTGGAGAACTTGCCCTTCCATGTACCTCGAGATCCCTTCATAGTAAAGAAATGTTGGGGTTCTTCGCGCCACGAAAGTTTTAGCTTTATTGGAAAATCTGTGGAAGTCGTGCCATTGCTGAAGTCTGGCATACCTGCACAACCAGAGAAGAAATGAAAATCGGCCCTGCTCTCTGGATGGACCTGTTTCCTGAGAGATCTCTCTGAATGTCAACTTTCAATACCTTGGCCCTCGGCCTGCCTCGGGTCTGACACAGCAGAATGGCAGATGATGTGGATCCAGTGTTGGATTCACCAAGGTTGGTTTTAAATAAGCGGGGTAGCTGTGCAATGTTATTCGTTAAGCGGCGCTGTTACCGTGTGAGAAAAGCCAGGAGGCATGACAAAACCCAGTATCAGAGTTTTGTTGGGGTGGGGTGGGGGAGAAGAAGAGCGCATGGCCAAGGCTACTGGAAAGACACGTGAGGAGAAGGGAGAGAGGGGGCAGGAGGAGAGAGAAGAGAGAGGGGAGGAGTCTCTGACCAGCTTTTTAAGGATCCCCCTGCACATGCGCATGTGGGCTTACCGAGCTATGCCACGCATGCGCAGATTGCGTGACCACGCAGCACGGGTTAGGGTTACGTAGGATCTAAGCGTGTGTCTTGTGCTGTGCGCACGTGCGGTCATATAGCTGGAGGCGTGGCCGGAAAGGGTGGGATCATATGATTCGGGAGGAACAGAGCCCCCAGGGGCACCCATGGGGCACTGGCCGCCATCTGTTATGCTCCTTAGACTCTAGGAAGTGAGACAGATCACACACTTCAGACTTGAAGAAGCTGCCCCGTTGCAAAGAGAGGTGGGCCAGCAGTACTGAGCGGCCCGCAGATGGGCCAGCGTCAGCCGTGGATTTCCAGGTCTAACGGGCCAGGAATTTGTGCAAACAAGCCCTCTAGGTGATTCTTCTGGCCACTAACTGTGAGAAGTATGGGCTGGGGACACAACTGTTCCAACAACATCCCCACTAGGATGGAGAGCGAGGAGGGATAAGCACAACTGTTAGGCGTCAGAGCCTTTGAAAATCAATGTGCATTGGGATACCAGTTTGATATTGAGCCTTCTCCGGCAAAAGTAATTTTCTGGATGTTAAGTTTTCCCATGTAATTTAATTTTGTGTTTAAAGCAGGGTCTCATGTAGCCTGGGCCAGCCTTGAACTCCTTCTGAACTCGCCATCCTCTTCCTCTGCCTCCCAAGCACTGGGAACACAGGTGTGAACCACTATGCCCAGTTTCAAATCGTTTATTCACTTTTAATCAGAAGTCATTTCACTTCAGTTTGGAGTTGCTCTCATTTCATTACAAAGCTTTTGATGAGTCACACTAGGCAACCTTGTAAGGATTATGTCCTTAATTACCTCACCAGCCTGCGTCCCAGCCTAAAAAGCGGGCGTGCCCTCTCTTTCCATATTCTCTCCCCCTCTGCGTGGCCTCTCTCTCTCTCTCTCTCCCTCTC